ATGATGCGCCGATAACCAATGTATGATCGACAACGCACTCTGGGGGCTAGAGTTCGTTGTCGATCATACGTTAGCAAATCATCGGCGCTTTGTTTAAATACTCGGACGCAATGCGTTTAGCTGATAAACATCCAAGGAACGTCGTGCAGCCGGTACCGAGGGTTCATTTTAAACTAAGTTCGCGACAGACCGCGTAGTATCGGCGAAAACGGACTCTGTACTACACCTGGTCGACAGTCCCGTCGCTGACGTGGAAGCCCCGGGGAGCCGGACAAATCACCGTTGGTATCGGTATTCGTCGACAAACGTTTGTAGATGATATTTGCTTTGGTGGCGAGGATTTCGGCAGATGTCAGGCTACGCTGGACCGATTACTGACAAGATTTTCACGGTGTCGCATCAGTATCGGCTACACCAAGGGCATATTCTATCAGTCTAGGGTGGATTTTCTGTCTCATGAAATTTCGCCAGAAGAAATTAAGTCTAAGGTTGCGTCTATCACTGGCCTTTCGTTCCCAAACTGCAGCGGGCTGCCGAAGCTTCAGTGCCAGATGAAGACATTCGATTTAAAGAGTCATTAATACCAAGTTCCTTATCCGAAGGACACTTACAGCCCACGACCAGGGCTCAAAGTTAATACCATAACTTTATACTTCAAAACCAAATGTACTATTATTGCTGTCAAGCCGTCTAGGGGTAAGTGTATATTCTTAGCTTTCTAGCATAGTTAAGCCTAACAAGCCAAGCGCCGACGCTGCGCGGCGGTAGTTTAGGTTGTATTCTAGTCGTTTGCCTTCCGGCCTCCGCTTTGCTTCGGCGGGATAACTATTCCAGAAACTCGGAACCCCGATGTACCAAAATCAACTTCATTAATTTCATAAATCTGGGTTTAACTTAGACCAGTCGCTACAAAGTGATTACTTCAACAAAAGACTGAGCCCCTAGCATCATACTTACCTTGTTAAAAAAAGATTATTCTCGTGATCTTCACAGTCGCTTTATTATTGTTGGCTATCACTGTCAGAATCGCCTGCACTACAAATAGCATGTCTACAAACGCTACACAATACATTTAGTTTAGCGTCGTGCTCGATATCATGGGCCATTTCCGCTATGAAACTTGGCATGCATCAATGCAAAGGATAGTAATGGCTTGTCCAGCTTGCACTAAACACCCGCGTGTACTACTTGTTTGAGCTTGTAATTAACTGAAGATTGATCACGTCTCATACCAAACTCGATGAAAGCTAAAAATAATATTCAAACTGAAACATTATTAATGCATTGAAGTGCGTTCATTTTGTGCTGATTCAAAAGTCATTGGACACTCAAACCTGCCAGTTATGATTAAAACACTATGATAATGCGTCGCAAGATGCCTTGCTGTTGTTGGCCTCAGAGGTTTTTATTTAGTCGTTTAACTAAGATTCCAGAATGACTTAACGAACAATTATACTCTAGGCTTAACGTTTCTTAATGGGGTCTAATTAACCAACCATAGTTTACGCATCCCATGTTGTGCTGTTGTCTGTCCGCTCAATTTAAAATTTTATCCTACGCCCTTGTCGGCGACTCCTCCAGTTTAATAGTATCCATTTTTGCTGTCTAAACAACGTTTAGAGAACAAAGGCCAAATTTATTTCGCTTACAGTAATAATTGTCACCAGCACATATGAGTTTTTTTTGCTCCCTCTTAGACTAATGGCTCAAGCCACAACGGTTTTAGCTTTATTCTTAGGACTAGTCACATCTATTGCTGCCAGCTACTGTTGTACTACGATTTGGCCGTTACGCATAGAAACCATTTAGGTTACTTATTTTTACAACACAGCAATCACGGTTATTATTCTAGTCGATAATTGTCGTCGTAGCTTGCCGGTGCATAACTCGGTCAGAATCGATAGGGTACAGCGCATTACATGTACGTATATTAAAAACATGTCCTCGGAAACGTGTATTGCTACGTGTACGCTTAGCCCCTTGCAGCATTAAAAGCAAGCGATAGCACTCGAATATTAAAAATAACGGCTTTATTAAAATAGTACATCTTATTATTATAAAACGATGCCGCCTTAGGAAAATGGATAGCCGTGTGAAAATCGCCATATGTAAACTGTGAATCACATCAATTTAATGATGTAAGCTACATAATCATATTTTATTATTCGGAGCCGCCTTCGCTCCGCTCGCCAGACAATGGGAAAGCTCTAAAATCTGAGCGTTTTGTGTGACGGACGGACGGACAGCGTGCTAGCATTGATTAAATGCACTAGCCGTTCGCCGCCGCTACGCGGCGGAGTGGCATGGTTTGTTGAAGATGAGGTGGCCGCAAATTTAAGTGTTTCTTGGTGTCGCGTACTTTGTGAGCGTCGTTCACCCCAGTAGGTCTTGGCCTCGTGTACTTAACCACTTACCATTCCGTAGTCTCACCCGGACCCGTATAATATCGTGGTTTAGTACGCTTCCGTTACCCCGTACTACAGGTTGGATGTCATGTTCTTCAGTGGCCGGCGCTCTTATGTGATCTTCCTGGCTTCGTGGTTTCCTGCTCACCCGTGGCACACTCTGCTTAGTAATTACACTCTCTCTCTTTTGGGTTCATTCTCTTTAGTACGGTCTCTTTCGTGGCTGCTACCTATTCTCTGTTCTCAAACGTTTACGTGGGTTGCACCGGTTTCGTGGTACGTAGTTTTTCGTGGTCGTTGGCCTCCCGTTGCCAATACGCTATCCGAAGGGTGCTATTCCGTGGTTTAATGCCTCCACGCGCTCCTGTTGTTTCGTCGCCCTTGTATCGTACTCTCCTGGTGAGGCTTCATTATCGCGCTATCGTGCAATCGCAGTGTGGCTCTGTTGTCTATGCAATCGTGCTCGCATAGTATATATGTTTTGCTCATGCTATCATGTTCTACGCTAATACCATGCTCCACGTTGTGGAATCGTGATCTCCCGGATCCTTCTACCGTTATTTCTTGGCTGGTCCGCCGTCCTACTATTGGATATTAATGCGCATAAGCGTCGGCCTCCCATTGCCAGTACTCTAGACTACGGGTGCTATTCCGTGGATTGGTGCCTCCACGCAGTCGTATTGTTCCGTTGCCCGTTTGTCGTGCTCTCCTCGTGAGGTTCCATCGACCGCATAATTCTGCTATCGAGCAATCGCGGTGTGGTAATGCTCTCTATGGTATTGTAGTGCATCGGCGTTGCCAGTGTTTTATCGTGTCCTATAATGACATTGTACTCTGCGGTGTGCCATCGTCGTCACCCCATCGTGTTCCAACCGCTGCTCTTGTTTGGTCGGTCGACTGTGCTCCGTGTTCTACTGTGGTGTTATGGGAGAATTCCTGTCCGTGCACTCTTACAGTTACGTGTTCTACCGTGGCTTCTAACATCCAGGCTCTACCCTAACTTCTTACGTCCGTGCTCTTCCGTAGCTGTGCTTTTCAGCATGCTGGGGTGTCTATATATTTTATTATCTCCCGTGGCCCGTACTCTCCCGTCATATTCTTGCCCTTCTGTACTTTTCATGGCCGCGTGATCTTCCGTTTTTCACGCTACGTATACAATTCGTGGTTTGCATCGGCTAAGTCATCTAGCATCGTCCATGGCCTTCCGTGCTTCGTGTTGCTCTTCTATCCCAGCGTCTACATAGTGTGGGTCGGTGTTTCATCGTGTTTCGTGTTCTTGCTGAGTCACGTGCCTCCGCGCAAACTTGATCACAAACGCTGTTCCCATTTTGTTTGATGTACGCAACATATATTGTTGGAAAGCTCACATAATATCTTAAGGTCACACACTACGCGCGCAAATACGAAGGAAGGTGATATTTCTCCCGGAGGCAGTGTGGGGTGCAGGGGTGTAAGCCACAATTGTCATATTTTAAAATTTTCACATTATTAATAGTATTAGTAAAATTGTGATTTATTATTTAACGCTAATATAACAATTATGTGTACTACTACTACAAATAGCTGCAAGGAAAAAAATGAAATTTCTTGATAATAGTACTACTCGAAACAGTATTGTAAGTTTAATTTTTAGAAAAGTACTATGAAGCCTAAAATATCATTCTATATCCACTAGCTACTAAAGTTTCGATTGAGGCCTAAATATAAGTCACCAGGGCCTACAAAAACTTTCAACAGCTCGTACGACGATACTGTATGTGTGTGCACGTCGGCGCCTCCTATTAATGCTAATTAAAGGGTGCACAGGCAGCGCCCTTTGCGTGGCCTTGCAAGCCGCAGCTGAAAATGAGAGCAAAATTAAATTTGAACGCTGCATTTAAGTACGATGTGTTGACCTCATAGAGTGTGTACACCACATAATGCGACTTTAGCCTATCGACGCCGCCTTCGCTGCGCTCGGCAGCCAGTAGAACGCCCGCATTAGCGTGAGTTTTATTAGCCCTACCCTCGGACGGACTTACGGACAGACAACACACTCCACTAGAGAGGTAAGATGACGTGAGGCTTTCAGTCAACTTACTGAGATATATTGTTACCCTATCCGACTAATGTACTGATAGTTTCTTGACTCTCTGGGTACTCCGTACCCCTGTGTGTTTCACACCATGTAACCCCGTTACCCTCTCCCCCACTAAGATGATAACATTCATGTTCTCGAAACTTCCTCAGTGAGGACTCGTCTTGTCATGACGGCAATGTTTAAACACGTCGCACCAGCGTTGTACATCTCCGCGAGCTCACAAACGCTTACGCATCGTTGATCGCCAACTTCTCGTCGTCGGCCCACGGTCCAATACTCCAAGCACACCGCGCATCTTGTTCTCAAGCTGTCCCAGACCTACGCTCGCGCTCCGCGCCTACTCCAAGAGCTGTAAATCGCTTAGCGCTAGGCTCTTGACTCGTTCGAGCCATCGCCAACATCTCAGCAGTTGCACACTCGCTTCACAAGTGATAGGTCGGTGGTTCAAACCCACGAGAGTGTCACCCTCTCCTTCCATGAACGATTGGCCTAGAATGAACAAGCTTAAGAGCATCGCCCTTTTAGCTCAATGGCTAAGCGTTGGCTTTGATAGCCAAAGATCGGTGGTTCGAATTCACCAGAGCACAGCCCTCTCGCTCCATGAACTGTTGTCCTAGAATGGACAAGCCTAAGGACATCGCCCTTTATCTCAGTGGTCGAGTGTTGGCTTTGGAAGCCACAGGTCGGTTGTTCGATTCCACCGGGACGCAGCCCTCTCATACCATGCGTAGTCCGTACTCGGACTAACTTACGGACATCGCTATTATAGCTCAATGGTAGAGCCCCAGCCTGGAAAGCAAAGGGCAGTAGTTTGATTTCCGTCTAGGACACACCACGTTCGCTGTTACAGCGCATCCACACTTGGATCACGCTCATCAAGCAAGTTATTCCAAAACAACTATGCGTCTATAGGGACGCGTGTGCCTTAACCTTGTTCAACACAACACGAAGCATCTACTTTCTTCGGGACCACGTTCCCAACACCGCGAGGTCTCTCCACCTCCTGTTCCTGCTGCGAGCACCGCTCATACGTACGAGCTGGCTGCTGCAGCCACTGGTCAGAGCCTGAGCGCAGCTACTGACCTATTCGCTCCTCACTCTAATGGGAGCACCCAGCACCTGGCCACGCTGTAGCACGCCATGGTAGCGTTTCGGCACAAGATGTGCCCAGTAGTAAACGTCCACACCGTCAGGACAATCTTGCCGAAGGATAACCTCAAACAGCCATGATTTCTATGAGTGAGGGTAACCCCTTCACTTCACAAAGTACTGGGTACGACCCTTGCGTCTACGCTACGCCACATCGCGTTCCACGTGATAGTGGAGCTCACCATGCCATCGAGCAGAGCGGGGGGAAGGATACCTAGCCTCAGCCGGTTCTCGCGGGGAGAGTCAGCACCTGCCGGAGCGGCGTCTACGCCCATTCGACGGCGGCGTCCACAACGCGAGCGCTCACGTCCACCGCCCATCGGTCGATCTCAAAGCGATGATCCACCTTGTGGATAGGTTGCAGTCACCACAGTTGAGTCACAACCAAGTCTCGGACATTGAGCGTTCAGTCGCTCGGCTGAACGTTCAGCTTGATTTGCTCCTGCATCTCGAGCACTTAGCTCCGCGACCTGTGGCCATTCCACCGCTGGCGCCAACGCCTCCGCGTCACCTGATCAGAGTCTTAATATAGCTTAATCCTTCTAGCCCAATGTTTTATTCTGTATTATATAGAGTAAGAAAATCTCAATTAAAGTAAACTTTCAAGCCTGCGAAAATTATGGTATTGTAACCCCCTCCGCATGCTATGGGTAAGGACCAGGCAAGCCAAGCACAAAACAGCGATGAACGTGGACATAGTATCACCAATGTGTTGGTGATAGTACTGCTACTCTCGCAGAGTAGCAATCGTCTATTGGCTGGTTTCATGTTAAAATAGAGCCAAAACATGCATGTCTAAAACACCTGTCAATTTTGCAGTAGTCGAGCGATAAGCTAAACCCAACCATTACGGTGGAAGTGGGTCGCACGAACATGCACGAAGGGGAGAAAAATGCCTGGTTTCTAACTAGCGGTTAGTGAGGAGGAACGGGGCGATTTTCTCCCAGCGGAGGCCACGGTAAGGTGCCAACGAAACCATACAAGTGCGTCTCACTCATGCGTTTAATCTCACTTACATCTCCTCTTCCTTTCGCTTGCAGAATCGGATCTTCTTCTTAAGCTCAGGTGGAATAACCTTACCATTGTTCCAGATTTCGTGCCACACTTCGTACCATGTAGTTTTGCTCCCTTCATCCTTGTGTCTGATATTATCGCGAAGCGGCACCCGACCGCCAAAGATTGAGCTACAGTCCTCGTAGTAATAGCTTGTTTCGAAGGCCTTCTTGTCCGTGGCCGAGAACGCCGAACACACTTTACAAAAGAAATCTCGTCGCTTGGTTGTTCGAAGAATAGAAGTCAGCTGTGTTCACCAACTTGTGCTTCAGGCGTTGAATCGGTACATTCATCAGGTCTTCGACAATCAAATGGGTCTCAAAATGGATTGTTTGCAGCGCCAGCAGCTGGTGTTGCAACCGGCGCAAATAATTGGCGTGGGTTGGCGGAGTAACACCATTTTTGCTTGAGCGTAATACATAGGACAATGTATCCATTCACCATTGCCATGTCAACAATGCATATAAATGTCTGTCGGTAGTATTTCAATGCACTTCTGCATGCTGTAACGCTGCAGCCTGAGCTGATCGTGGACGTCTTCGCCTCCCATGCCGAGGCCGTAGTCCACGACCAGCTGTGGGCAAGATACTGTACTGCGGCTGCCGTCCTTTTACGTGCGATTAACGCTTGTCAGGTTTGCACTGCACCCTGTCGCCAGCATGCTCCCGGTTTTAAATCAATCCTGTTAAGTGCAATAAGCTGACGATGGTCACGCGTATATGCTATGCGGTAAGTACCTCGTGGTATTTTCTTCGGTCTCGGCTTCTGCCTGAACTGAAGCGAGCACCAGCCTAACCGATCCACATGTGTAGTACCGACGTGATACAACCCCATCTCAAGTAGCTTCAGACTCAGTGATACGGATGCGTAGTAGCTGTCCGTGACGACAAGTCGTTTTGCCGGCTGGCCGGTGAGCGCCGTGGATACGTTCCTCACGACGGTCATAGACCCAAGTCCCAGAGTGTCATGATTTGTTTTGTTTTTTCTGCTTCTTATTTTTGTCTGGTCCACAGCAAATATCCACTCTAAATTAGTAGAATACATTATACCATAAGCGCATGTTAGTTGTTCTGTAGCACGCAGAATATGATAATTCTAGACAAAAAGAAAGAAGATCACCTTGAGCAGTATGCGGTCTCGGCGCAACACGTCATGTAAAACTTGGTTCCTTATTTGCTGGGCTTGTCCGGCATGAGTACTCGCATCAGATTAAAACGTACTGCGGTTTGGCATCATGCCTTCGTCAAAGGATATCACCTTTCCGAGGCGATAGCCTCGCAGAAATGGCTTCTCCACTGTATGTAAGAGCGGCCTGATCTTCCAAGTCTTATCCCTATGCGCTTCTTCGTCTTCGTTACTGTTGAAGTGCAGGAACGGCATGATTGCCTCGAATCTATTGCGCTTCATGAATCTCGAAAATGTTCTCCGAGGAATAGCTCCATCTTCATCAATCTACCAGGGTTTGGCAAGACCATCCGGAATAGGAGGAATGGCTCGGCCTATTAGTAGAGCTACCACGTCCACAATTGCGTGTGGCTGAATTTGCTTGAGCTTGTTCAGGCATTCTTTGTACTTTTCTAATCTCGGAACACTCACTCGTGGGCTGCAACCTGACGTGCGTGAATTTTAGCTCGACGGGAAGCTGCGACAGCACCGATCGTTTGATGTCGGTACTGATTAGTTTCGTTGGCAATTCTCCTTTGGTTAGAAATAGAAGAACATGCCGAGAGGAGAGTTCGCGTATGCAACAGCCGAGCGGGTCGACCCCCAAGTTCCATCGGAATAGTCTGTCCCTGCGTCCAATTGAACTTCGTGTTAGGAATAGGCTCGAAAGGGCAAACATAAATACAGAGCAGAATTTCTACTCAAGCACACAGAGCGACGTCCGGCTTCAAGGTAAGCGTCTGGTCAAGCTTATTTGAGTGTGTTATGCCTGTCGGTGAACTCGAAGCTCTGTAGCGAGGGTTCATCCGGCAAGGCCAAGGGTTTGTGTGTGTATTGGCCAATTTGTATCGGGAGGTTTTACGTGACGGCTTATTGTTGCCTATTTGCACGGCTGGGAGTGCTTGCATTGCATCCCTTTTATTTTTCCAGCCGAGTGTTGAACACTCGGTGCCCTCGTAAAAGGCTTACCCGTGCCTGGTACCCTTCCGCTGTTGGGACCACGAGGATTCGAAACAGATGCGAGCTTTGCTCGTGCCAATAGTGTGTTGTTATTTTTACTGGCTGGCCTATATAAGTAGCTTACAATGTCTAGTCTGTCCCTGTGCAAGGGCAGAACTGGGGGCTTCAGGTCCGACCGAACGATCGTATGCTATCCTAGCAGACGTATTGCTGTATGAGCTCCCGAACTACATTTGTAGCTAGAGGTCACGTGGAATTTCCAACACCATATTCACGCCATTCTCTTCTTGCGTCCACGTCTTGAGCTGACACAGACGCACGAACTTGTGGCTCTACTCCAACCAGTCTTGAGCCGTGCCTCCACTAAAGCGTGGGGGCGTTTTATCTTCACGTACTCACGGCTCGATGTCGTACGTTTTCTCCCGTGTGGTTACCTGGTACACCACGCCGTTCTCTGCGCCGCTGATGTCGTCCATGGTGGCTCACCTGGTCTTCATCAGTTGCGGAAGTCGTCCAAAATCCACTTGAGCTACTTTAAAGTGATGTGCCCTTGGCTCGCAGAGGGTTTTTACAAGAAGGTAAAAAGAAGACTGATATTTCTGTTAAGGTACTGTGCCAGTGACGCACTCAGCCAGTTTCGTGTCAATAATGTTAGCTAGTTAGAGATCACAATTTGGTTTGCTCTTATATTCAATTGTCTAAAACAACGTTTGTTGAATCGATTTGATCTTGGTAAGGCTCAATTTATTTGTACTCAAATAAATTTCTAAACGAAAAGGAGCAGGAAACTGGCAAACCCCTATTTTTCAAAAAATAGTCATTTGTGACCCAAAGTAGGCAGCATATTACAGTTCTTTGGTTTAATTTGCCCAAAAAGAGCAAGTTTTATGAGTGCCTTTGTCGATGAAATAGGACATCTCGATGAAAAGTAATGTTGACTCAAATTTAGGACTTTCTAACGTGGCACGTAACTGGCACAATACCTAATGTTGCTGTTATGACCTGTCTCCGACCGGGAGACTCTCAAAAACAGTTTAGCACCTGATTCGTCAATAAGTGGGTCTGTCTCAGCACTATTAACCAATCAGGTGATGACACACTGGCACACGCTACCCGTATGCCACTTTGCCTACTTATGTAATATATCAAGAAATATATATAATTGGGGCTGAACCCATTACATCACCCTCCTCTCTAAGGTTTTCTTACGCAACAAAATCACACGGAACGCATTTAAAAAATAAGAAAAACGACGAAGCGG